AATCTAATACATATGGGTAATTTGGGAATTTCATAAAACTTGAAAAAATTAAATAGGACCAGTCCTGAATTCTATTTTGAAAGCAAATATTGAATTTTTGCTTCCACGGGTGGCAAAGCAGAGGCTTGTTTTTGCATATTTCGGAAAAGAACGTTTATTACTCCACACAAAAAAATTTAAGAAATGCAATACCATAAATACCCACAACTTCTGAAAAATGACAACAAAGTTCAGATTTATATGAAAAATTATTCAAAAACTTTCTTTAAAAAAAAAAAAACCTAAAACAAAATTGTGCTGAGAAATCTAATCACTACTTTGTCTATGAATTTTGCCTAATCAAATTATGTAACATGTTCAATAAGATTGTATCCAAAAAATATGCAATTAAACTAAGACGAGTTTTTCATGAATTATATATCCCTTTTTGAGATCAAATCATTCACTTCGTATGGACTTGTCTTAAAAAAAAAAAAAAAAATTTCCTTTACGCCTATTTTGATAATTGGATTAAAAGCTATTTTTTTTTTTTACTTTTTAGAGTTATATTACCTTTTTATTTTTTTATACGTTTTTTCAAAAAAAAACAAAAAGTTAATCTTTAACCTATATATCTAATAAAGCTTGAAAATGAGTTTCGCTTCACAATTTAAAGTAATGACTTGTACCTATTTTGTAGCACGAGTCACTCAACCACTTAATTAAAATAAAAAGACCCATTTAATTCAATTCCTAAATTAGCCCGCTATACTAAAACTTGAGAAGTGTTTGGTAACATGAATCATTTTTGGGGTTTTTTTAAAATTAAAAAAAACTACCTTTTTTAGCATAATCTATTTGATAATGTAATCAATTTTTTTAAGAAATTCTATTTCCACACCCTTAATTATTTCAGTACACATCTTCTTTCAATACGCACATTTATTAATTTGATTATTAATGAATTTTCTCAATCCACATACTGAAAGTTACAATTATACCTTTCACTCATAATCATTGTACACACACCACTCAACCTTCATTTCCACACTTTTTTTTGTTTTGTTTTGTTTTGTATTTTTCTTTTTTTTTTATGTTTTTCAGTTTGGAGATTTCGGCACTAGTTTTCCAAAATTATACATTTAATTCGAAACTTAACTTCTGAATAAAAGTGATTAGTTAGAAATTTGATCCAATTTTTTTTTAAAAAAAATAAAAACTTTCAACAGCTGATGTCCGAATATAATAAAATAATTCGGCACTAGTTGTTTAACTGAAAACCGTGAATAAAAAAAAAAAAAGGGTTCTACACAAAAAAAAATAATCTTTTCATCACTAAAATAGAGTATAAATTTAGAGATTAAAGCCATCTGAGAGTAATTATGAGAGTATTGATTTGCAAGCAATAGAAGAGTATAGAGTGTGTAGCACGTAAAGTGACAATAATAGAAAAATTAAGATTTTTTTTTTTTTTTTTACTCAAAATGTATACAATGAGATTTTTTTTCTTATTTTTAAAAGATGTGTATAGAGAATATTTTCATATAATATTATCGGTGCTAGTGGATATCCATTATGATCATTTTAGTTTAGGATATAATTGCCATTAAAATAATATTTCATTAAGTGTGTATACTGAGATAATTAGATATGTAAAAATAAAATTTCCCAATTTTTTGACTTTTCAAATAGGAATTGACTATCTTAACCCTCCCTTAATAGATTGAAAAATGTAATTGCTTTTTGTTTTTTTTTTTGGGGGGGGGGGGGGGGGGGAGAGCCAAAAACGCCGGCTTTTTACCTATTTTGAATCATATCATTTCTCACATTTTTTACTCACAAAAAGATAAAATAAACTAAAAAAATTAAAAAATTAATTTTTTATCAACTTCTCAAAACACTCCAAAGAAGCCCAAAACGCAACAATAACAAGCCAAGACCAACAATTGTCAATTTTGGCAAATGTCTCAATTTTTGGACTTTTTGCTATGATAGTCCAGCTTTAAAGTTTTTAAGACGTGTTTAAATAAGAAGCTAAAAACTTACTCTTAATAAATAAAATAACTCCGTTACGTAGCTCGAAATATCAAAAATTCAAATGACTCAAAATTTCAAAACGACGTCGTTTTAGGATTTTTTTTTTATTCTCTTGCCGGTAAGATAATATTTTCCGTACCATTTGAGCCATTTGAACTCTGTACATTCAAGCTACGAATCATTTTCGTAAATAAAATCACTTTGTATTAAATAATGTCAAAAGTATGATCACTACTCAACAACTAAAAGTAAAAATATTTTTCCAAATTTATTTATCTATAGTAAATTATTTTTACAATTTAAAATTCTAGAAACAAATTCACTATAGGCAACAAATAATAACCAATGTGTTTAATTTTAATTTTTTAAATTCAGTTTTTTAAAAATTGAGTTTTTTATTTTTTGTATTTTTTTTTATTTTAATGAATATTTTTTAAATTTTAAGCAATTTTTTTACTTTTTTTAAATGCATCTTACTTAAATATATCTAAATAGTAAAATATTTGTAAAAAAAATATTTTAAAAAATTAATAAATACACAAAAATATAAAAAAATATACTAAATTTTAATATATATATATTTATATTTTATGCTATTTAGTGCATTTTTTAAAGATTTTTTTCACAATTATTATATTTTTTAAGTGTATTTATGTTAAGTGTCTAAAAATTAAAAAAAAATGCTTAAAATATTTAAAAAATTTATTGAAAACATTAAAATACAGAAAATAAAAAAGTAAAATTTTCTAAAAATTATTTTCCGAAAACCAAAACCAAACAAAGTGAATAATTTTTTAGCTTTTTTTCTTTCTTTAGTGGCCTTTTTTTAAATAATATTTTTATTTATTTCTTAATTTTTAGGGTCTTTTGCTCTAGAAAGTGAATTTTTGAAAACAAATTTTTAAAAATTCACCAAAGACGAGAAAAAAAAAAGACTAAAAAAAACAACAATGATATATCCTTCTAAAACTAGAGCTCTAATTGAGCTCTAGTAAGGTGAAAATTAAAAAATAAATAAATAAATAAGGCCAAAACATTACATCAATAAATCTCACATACGCGTTACACCTAGTAGAGCTCCAAAACAATTTTTTTTTTTTAAATTACCGAACCCAACCTTAATCTACTCCTTCACGACCCTGTCTAATGAGACTAAACTCGGCGCTTGCTCAAGTTCAAATATTAGGAAATGGAATTCTTCCCTTAGCTCATCTATGGTTTTTTATTTTTAGTCGCAATGGCAGCTCTTTTAACCTTGGAAAGGCTCCGAAACAAAAATCAAAAACAAGAAAACAAAAAGCCTTGGAAAGGTTACTGAAGAGATTCCCAAATCACAACCTAATTATTTAACGAAAGTTTTTTAGGAACTTTGAAGTTATGCAGAATACCACTATTTGGTTTGCCCCTCAATTTTTGCTTCAAATAATATTTCCAACCTTAAAATATTGATTCATGCACCCATCATATTCATATCATCATCAATGACCTTTTTTTCTAAGGAAAAAAGCATGCAAGAGATGAGTCACCGAAAGAGCAATGAAAACAAAACTATTTTCAATCATGTTGATATCAGTAAAATTTGAATGAAACTAAAAAAAAAAAAACAAACAAACAAACAAACAAAAACGAAATTCTTATGCTTGGACAATGTACTACTACTTTTTATCCTAATGATGTTTTACCGTGTTGGCATGAAAGAATGATCCAATCCAGGGGATAAAGAAGCCGATGTCTAATATCTTATGCAGAAAGCTGATTCCTTCAACAGACTCTTTGAAAAGTTCATCAGATCTTTCGGCAGCTTCCAGTTTGGCCTTGAGAGCCCTGTTCTCTCTCTTAAGCTATACAATATAAAACCACAAAACTTCAAAATGTATAAAATCAGATATGCCATTTGAGGAGGTTGTGACAAGAAAAGGCAAAAAAATTATTGGGCATAACTAACAGTGAGTGCTTGCATAGACCAGAATGCGTAGACAAACGGAAAGTGTCCCACTACCATTGACAATTTGATTGTGTACTTGGATGCGTCTTCAGAAATTTTAATAGCATTGAAAAGTTCACCCACTACTCTAGGCAATAGTCCTTTCTTCTGCTCATCACAATCTAGAATGCTGGGACCCTGGACCCAAAAAAAAGGCAATGTATGAGCCAAATCTGAAAGATTGAAAGTCAATAACTATCATATCTGGAATATATTAATGAAGTATCAATACATCACCTCCATGCTATATGTCTTCCCCGCTCCTGTCTGTTACAGAATGCACAAGGAATGTTGTCAGTTTGAAATAAATATTAGCGTATTTCATTATTACAATTCCATTGGAGGGACATGATAAAGTAACTCTGTGTGCTTCTACCTACCTTAATTCCTGACTAAATTTTAAAAAATGAACGATATACAATTCAACTTCATGTGGTGGCTATCACTTGTGAGTTTATCACTCATCCCTTTCATATCGTCTAAAAATGACCGTAATTGTGTGAAAAAAACATGAACAACTTCACATGAAACGGATCTCACTGAGAATAGAGTTTAAAGTTCCAATCTTGTGTTAGTTTCACACCTCAGAATAGAATGTTCAAAATTTTACAAGAATTACAGTATGGAATGTTTTCCCCAGTATTTGCCTTGATTAAAAATGGGAAAAGGGAAATTCTAAGATACTTTGATGTGCCTAATTATTTAGTCAACTTTACTGGCAACTCCCCACATAATTTACATGATTCAACAAGCCACAAAATTGCAACATGGAGCATTGTATGTTTTAGAGTATTTGTGTAATTCTTAATTCCTTAATATTCATTCTTGGTCTTTAGGAGTCACTGAAAACAACCTATTGAAATTGAATGACCCACTCTAGCATGTGGAATTTTACAAAAGAAATCCATCACAGTGAATAAACACTCAAAAATTGACAGTTAATGCTGATGAAAATTTACAATAACACTGTTTGAAGAAAACTTGGTGTTAAGCTATGGACTGTGAATATGTAAGCACAATGACTTCTACTGCTGGCCATATTCATTTCTATTTATGTTAAAGCTTAAACACAATTTTGAAACCAATCGCCAGTAATTTATTGTAAAAAGAGAAACAAAGGATACGGGTCTCTCCAACTGCTCTGTTAGCAATCCCACTCTGCATGTTCAAAATTTCGTAAGCAGCTGCAAGCTACAAAACTGAGAAAAACCTCTCAAGCAGTTATTGTCTTACCGATAGACTTTGTAATGCCTCTGCACGGTTCAATAAAGAGATCTGAAGAGGAAAATTGGCTATTTGAAAGTGAGAAAGCATGTATAATAACATCACAATTAAAATTACACACCCTTGTCATCAAGAAATTGGATTCAATTTAATGTAGTCAACTAAGTTTAAATTTTATAAGATGCAATGATTTACAGGTAGAGATCTGACTGAAAATTTTGAAGCCAGAATGGGTTGCTTCCAAATTGCACTATTCCTGGAATATCCAAGTAATTCTTCCATGAAAGAGATTTTGATGGATAACTAAAAAAAGAATAGCCTTTGTCCTTCATTCTAATTTGTGCATCCATTTGTTTTGGGCTTAAAGACAACTGAGCAAACAGAGAAGCCTCAAATCCCGGTATGTTGACTGAGATGACTTACATGAAAAGTATTATTCAGCAGCGCCGTAAGTGCTTACGTATTTACATAATTAAGATTCAGCATCAGGATTTCACGAAGGGAAATAGGAGGAAACAATAAAACATTCACCTCTGTAACACCAGACAACAAGATTCCTTGCACTTTATTCTCCTTGATCTGGATGTTGTCCTTTGACAAATCAAAAAGGTCCCTGATAGAAAGGACTACAACTAAGATTTAACTCAGATTAAATAACCGGAATAAAATACATAATATAGAATAAAATCAATAAATAACTCTTTGGGTGATACAAACCTTACTTTCTCCATATAGATCTCGACCTATAAGTGTCACAAGAAAAGGCAAAAAAATTATTGGGCATAACTAACAGTGAGTGCTTGCATAGACCAGAATGCGTAGACAAACGGAAAGTGTCCCACTACCATTGACAATTTGATTGTGTACTTGGATGCGTCTTCAGAAATTTTAATAGCATTGAAAAGTTCACCCACTACTCTAGGCAATAGTCCTTTCTTCTGCTCATCACAATCTAGAATGCTGGGACCCTGGACCCAAAAAAAAGGCAATGTATGAGCCAAATCTGAAAGATTGAAAGTCAATAACTATCATATCTGGAATATATTAATGAAGTATCAATACATCACCTCCATGCTATATGTCTTCCCCGCTCCTGTCTGTTACAGAATGCACAAGGAATGTTGTCAGTTTGAAATAAATATTAGCGTATTTCATTATTACAATTCCATTGGAGGGACATGATAAAGTAACTCTGTGTGCTTCTACCTACCTTAATTCCTGACTAAATTTTAAAAAATGAACGATATACAATTCAACTTCATGTGGTGGCTATCACTTGTGAGTTTATCACTCATCCCTTTCATATCGTATAAAAATGACCATAATTGTGTGAAAAAAACATGAACAACAACTTCACATGAAACGGATCTCACTGAATAGAGTTTAAAGTTCCAATCTTGTGTTAGTTTCACACCTCAGAATAGAATGTTCAAAATTTTACAAGAATTACAGTATGGAATGTTTTCCCCAGTATTTGCCTTGATTAAAAATGGGAAAAGGGAAATTCTAAGATACTTTGATGTGCCTAATTATTTAGTCAACTTTACTGGCAACTCCCCACATAATTTACATGATTCAACAAGCCACAAAATTGCAACATGGAGCATTGTATGTTTTAGAGTATTTGTGTAATTCTTAATTCCTTAATATTCATTCTTGGTCTTTAGGAGTCACTGAAAACAACCTATTGAAATTGAATGACCCACTCTAGCATGTGGAATTTTACAAAAGAAATCCATCACAGTGAATAAACACTCAAAAATTGACAGTTAATGCTGATGAAAATTTACAATAACACTGTTTGAAGAAAACTTGGTGTTAAGCTAGATCCACCAATTGCGACAATTTCCACATCTTTAAATGACTGCATTCACAAGTCACAACAACCATAGAAGTTTGCATTTGAGTGGCATAAAATGATAAATACAAGTCTTTTCAATTTCAACAATGAGACCATAAACTTGACCTAAATGAACATCAAGAAAAGAGCAATTACCTACCCAAAAAAAGAAGAGAGCAGTTCCCATAAATCAGCATAACAAGCCTCAGTTTACATATGCAACATACAGATAGGGCTTTTTTGATTGGGCAAACTATAGCATAGGATTGGATTATTAATCTATGGGACTTATGTTTCATTGTTTGGTTACAAATTTTATTTTTTGGATTAGATTCCAATGGCCATTCTATCGAACAAAATTTACGGATGTTTTAATCCTACAACTAATAACGCAAAATATACATAAAATTGGGATTATATATTTCCATATAATTGCAAAACAAACATAGACAAGAGAAAATTATGATCTCACTAATCCAGCTGAATAATCAATCTTACATTAATCTCATGAATTATTAATCCTCTCACTATTAATTCTGCTAATCAAACAGGTCCATAGAGATTTGTATTCCACTACATAGTTCTAAATACTTTATTTACCCCACACACAAACACAAAAAAAAGTTATCAAAGCTCAACTCAAAAACAGATTGAAGTAAATGTGAATTACCTGTCCATATGTAATAATTGTCCCATTTATTCCATTAACAGCATCTGATTTATCAAAGTAATAAATCATAAACATATTCCAATCAATAAATTCGTGAAGAATCAAGCAACAATGATTCACAAATTACACATAAAATCGGCTTAGAAATCAAAAAAATGCAAACACAATCTGATAATTACCTCGAACAATTGGTAGAGCTAGGAATTCGAAGACATCAGCTTGTTCAGATCCGTCATGGAACACTCTATCGAAGCTAAACGTGTACTCTTCTTGCTTCTCATCCTACATTTCATCAATACACAATCAATTTATGCAAATATGTGTATATAGAACATAAATCTGAGAGAGAACCTTGAAGACGAAAGTTTCGAGGTCCAAGCTTCGAATGCAGATTCCATCGCCATGATCGATTCTCTCTTTGGAACTCGGAGGTCTGAATCGCGCACAGACTGTGATGTTCGACATGACTATACTCTTCAACAAATCTTCAATCTCACAGTGACTTTTTGATTTCGAACCTATCACAAATCAAATGCCACTTCTTATATATATAGCCCTGATTTTGATTCCACGCTTTCTACAGTTGTTCGAGAATGTTTTTCCACTTTCCCGCTTCATAAAAAAGTTCATACAGTTTTGTTGATTCTGTCACTTTGTTCCTATAATTTGCCCATATACCCCTAACCTCTGTCCATATTTGTTAAAAGGGTATAAAATGAGAACAATAATGCTAGGGGTCGGGAATAATTTATCAGGAAAGGTTTCATGAATAAGTTGGCAGTGACCAACTCATCTTGGTGGAGCCCAATATATTATTAAAAATAAAAATAAAAAGAGAAGTTGGAAAAATCATAGGGAGAGGAAGTTCTGATTCTATATTAAAGTCCCCAACAACACGCAATCATTTAAATGTCAACAACAATCCCTCAAAAAAAAAACAATTTCTCTTTGTCTCATGTTTCCGGCGGTCAGCGATTTTTGCTACGAGTTTTTGCAAAAACACCATCTCCGATCACAAAGGTATGAAAATATAGCGGCTCTATTATAGTAGTATGAAGATTTAATAGCAGTTGCTCTATTAAGTGGCTCTGTTTTTTTACTAATGGTTATTGTTGTGTTGTGCTTTTGTAGCTGAGTTATTTTTATTTTTATCAAATTTATTCAGTACCTACCCAATACAAAAGGAACAAAGGTGGTTGATTAGGCTGTTTGTTAATTGTAACTTATTTTAATTTGAAAGTTTGTATTAGAGTGTTTAATATTGTTAGTATATACTAATATATAATGTTAGTATATATTAGTATATTGTATGTATTAGCTGTCAAACCTTTAATAATGTTGTTTGGTTTGTGTTGTTTGGTTTGTGTTTCTACTTTCTTTTTGTAATTGTTCTCCCTCTCTTTCCTCCTCTATAAAAGAGAGTCTCTCTGAAGATTGTATACACACTGAAAACACACATTTAATATATCAATACACTTAATTTATTCTCTTTCTCTCTACCAACTAATCTTACACTACTAAAAAAAATACTTTTTGCGACCGTCACATGCCGTCGCAAATAATAAAAATACAGTCGCAAAAGACTTTTTGTGACGGCCTATGGGACCGCACATGGGGGACGCAAATGTGGGGGTGGCAAATATTTTTTGCGACGGCAAAGCAACGGTTGCAAATTATTTGTGACCACCTAAACTACTTTTTGCGACAGCTATTTTGCCGTCGCAAAAAAAAAAAAAAAAAAAAAAAAAAAAAAAAAAAAAAAAAACATTTTTAGCTATGGGTTTGCTACAACAAAAAAATCAATTACAAGCACCAAACCATTTTTTGTAAATGAAAAATAACAAAATTAACAAATTAATTAAATTTATAATAGACATTATCCATTAATCATCTTTAAATACACTGTACTAAAAAATTCAAGTCTTCAAAAAAAAAAAAAAAGAAGAAGAAGAAGAAGAAGAGCAACATAATCTTTGGCTCCCAACATCAACCGCTCGATCATATCAACTATTCCCTCAACAAAATCTGCAAAAACATATATCAAACTTGACTTGAAAATTTAATGCACTTAAATGTGTTAGTTTAGCTTGAAATAATCAAAATAAAACTATGTCAGTGACTTATCTGTATGGCAGATCAGTGATTTGCAACAAGAGTTTCAATTACCTTAAGAGCAAACTCAAGCTTAACTATGGGATCACTTAATTATGGCGTTCGAAATTATATAACAGTATTGTGGCGAAAGATTTCCCTAAGCACTCCACCATCACCACCACCTACAACCAAAACCTGCATCAAGTAATTCAATTAAATTTAGCACAAATACCTGACAAATAGAATAATTATAGATTGCATAAACATGAAGAGCAGAAGATAGCTAGCTCTACCAACAAAGTTTTCCTCAATCATTGGCAACTTAAATTACAAGTTCTCTTTCTACTTGTAAATATGATGAATTGAGGCTGAGAGTACATAGAAATATTATTTGTTCACAATTTAACAATGAGACAAAAACAAGGTGAGTCTAATATTCAATTTTAGAATTAAATTTGTCATACAATGCCTTCAATCTAATAGAAAGAGTAAATTTTGCACATAGAACTCAAATACTATTTTGTCTGAAATTCCCTGGGAAGAGTGTGCAACATAGTGATAATAAAAGAATGGTGCCACACAGCCTTGTCTCTAACGAAATTCAAACCCTTAACCTCTCATACGTGAGAAGTAGGAAGTTGATGTTGTTGGGTTAGAAGACTGTTTGGCACATATAAAATAATTACTTAGAATCAAGAAATTTTGAAAAGAGGGTGATGAGTTTTTCACCCAATTTAGAGTAATGCCCTGTTTCTAGAAATTAATGCAAGAAATTAGTGAGGTAGAGATGACAAGTAATGTTGATGAGAAAGTGAAATGATGGTGAAATTGAAAAAAACATGAACGATTCAAAATGAAAGTTGTAGTAGAAGAAACTGGGGACATGGATCTAGGTTTATTAGAATTTTTTTTTTCAAAAGGTCTCTAAAATCATAATTAATGCTTTAGGTTTACCTAGATCCAAAACCTTAAGCCCGAGATAGGGAATGAGAGGCTTTGGTATAACTATAGTTGGATGTCCAGCATAGGCCATCAACAGAGGAAGAGCAGCAATTGATGGCAATAATAATTTCCTGTTCTACAAAGTCAGAAAGACCTAGTTTAGCATTAGCTCTGAATGTAGTAATGCAAAGAGAAAATAGTGCTCTTGACATAAATGGGCCGATAAATCCAAAAAATATGATTGGAATACTCACTCTCCAAGGGACATCGAGGACATAATCTACAAATCCAAGCAAAATCATGAAGCAGATGGATGCCAAAGCCGCATTGTACTCAACAAGCCACTGCATATATTAATAATCAACAGTTCCGTCTATCACTAGTTAGAGCAAATAATGTTCCTCACCTAACAATGCAGAAGCAAGAGGGTTGTAATACCCAAAAAAATACAAAGAGAAGACACAATTAAGGAGGAAAAATAGAAGTACAACACTTGTTACAACTTACAACATATGACACAGAAGTGCATAACAAACTCACACATCCTTACAATAAAGTACAATTGACAAGGCCAAAAAGAAAAGATGGACACCATATACAATAAGGTAAATTACAAAATCATTAAAACTGGAAGCTAATAATTTTTTTTTTCCCGGAAGTATATTAAGAAAGCATCAAGAGGTAATGCCACCCAATTCCCAATTCATGGAAAGGAATCTGCCAAAATGGGGCTGCTTTCCAACCATCTCATTGTAATAGGTAATTTACTAAAGCAACTTCTATTTATATAATTTTTCTTATATATAATATGGATAATTTGAATGTTCAATCCACCAAAGTCCAAATTAAAAGAGGACGATCTCATCATAGTGGAATGCACATGATTCAGAATTTTTTTTTTTAACTAGTGCTATGTACTCATATTTTTATTTTTAAAAAGTTTGTAAAATTTTAATATATAGCATAGATTTAAATTTGTATAGTGTAACTCACACATAATAAATTCAATTCACATATGATGTTTTTCTAGGAAATTAATTGGAGCTCGATACTACCTAAAGGGATATGAGGTAGTATATTGGCTATCGCAAAAGATTAGGCGCAAAAAGTTAATTTTCTAGTAGTGACGTATACATTTTATTTTTGATCACTTGCAACTTTTTCTGACTGCATAGAATCGTTGGTGACCAACACGAAGAAAGAGATGATGCATTTTGAGTCTGGCTTTTTGGGTAATAGGTCAAAGGTTTACCAACTCTAATCTTTATGCTTTCTTTTTTACTCTTTTCTTTATCCGTAAGTTTTTTCCTTTTGAATTGTTCTTAAAAAAACACAATTAGCGTCTTCAACACACTAACAGACTTGCATGACCAATAGGCCCAAAGAATTGAGTGCAATCATCCATGTCAAAATTTGGTCCCTTTGTCAATGCTTCATCTGCTTCTTTAAGCCTATGTAGCTTCAGCAAGGCCTCAGCTTGCAATGCAAAAATTTTCTCAATTACCAACAACCAAAACAAAACACTCATGTCAGTTTCAAGCCTATAGCTATGGCACCAAACCTTGAAAACAGAACATAACATTTAAAGGCTGAAATTGGAGTGTATAGCTAACCTGTGGGGTAGAATCAACACCAGCTGATATGGCGAGCCTAGTTTCTTTCAGCAATGTGTTCCAATCTCGTTGTATCTTGGCCTCAGTACACTTACTCAGATGAACCTGAAGGTTTTTAGCTTTAGTCAAGACATCAGGGTTTGATTTAGCACCAGCTTGTTTATAGTGATACATTGCCTTTTCTACTTCTCCTAATCTGCAATCACAAATATATATTACAACAACAATAGTAATGCCCAATTAAGCATAATGTACATCACTAAATGACAATTGAAGATCTGAAAACTAAAAGATGATTAAAAAAAAAATTATCATGTTTTAAATAGTAGGAGACGAATTAGTATTGGTCGAAGTGCAATGATATAAAGAGTATTGAAAGATATGTATTGAGAATTTTGGTGGCACAATTAAAGATATGAACAATGGCCTCCGATATAGAAAATCAAATGTTGGCACGAACCATTCTTGTTGCAGGTTTCCAAGTAAAACATTCATAGATGAACACGAGATGAAGCAAAATCCTTAATGCAACGCCTAACTCTCACAAAAGTATTAATTTGTCATTACATCTAAAGCATTCATTTAAGTTATTGTATGCAGAAACAACCTGAAATTTTAATTTTGAAACATCTAACAAACTTTCTTCAAGAATCACACAAAATTGAGGCACACTTATCAAATAAATTTAACTAATAATCTACCATTATAAATACATCCCCAAGATGTGAAATAAGGAAATAATTATAAGATATACTTTTACTAGACAGGTAACCACCATATCACAGTAAAAATAAAAATAAAGTACCATGCACATAAAGAATTTAAAGGAAAAAATACAAAGCAAAGGTCAAGTTCTGATTTTTTAAGATTCAAAATGAGCAAGGATGGTCTAACAGAAACTAGGATGAGCTAGGAAGCAGAGACACTTGTCATAAATGTCACGTGGCTATGAATCGTAGAACAAAAACTAATCGAATTGCTTCCTTATTTACTATTTTTCTTCTTCCCTTCCATAAATGAAAATAAAGGATATAAAAAGCTTTAAAAAATCATTTTTCTTCAGCACA